CTTATAGGGTTTATACTGAGTACAATATTGTATAACTGTAATAATTCAACTGTAAACCTAAAAATTTACAGCCAATTTTGAAAGAGATGCATCCTACCTCAGGAAAACGTTATTGAATATGTCAATTGTGTTGTCATGATATGCTTCTTCTAAGTATGTTGTTATTAAATAAATCATTTTTAAAAATTAAAAAAAAAAAAAAAACCTCAACACCAAGAAAACAACCCAACTAAACATTGGAGCATGTAACTAACCAGAGAGTTCTCAGAAGAAGAAACACAAATGGTCAAGAAATGTTTTTTTTTTTTTAACTTCCAACATCCTTATCCATCAGTAATAAATGCAAATTAAAAAAAAAAAAATAGAAACATGAGCCAGGAGTGATGGCTCCTGACTGTAATTTCAGCATTCTGAGGCTGAAGCTATAGACAGACAGAAACTCAAAAAGGGAAGAGAAAAGAAGGGGCAGGGACGTGGTCAGTGCAAAGCAGCTGCTTAGCTAAATGAGGTCTGCTGTGGGAGCTCACTCACTAGGGAGATGTAAACAAACAACTACCCCTCCTCCTGAGGTTCTAAGGGCAAACCAGAGTAGAATTCCATCAAAGTCCAACTTGAAGACCAGTGAGTTTACTGGGCTTACAGAGCATGAAAGGGTTACTTACAGGCCTATGGGTGACCCCAAAGCATCAGCAGCACTAAGGAAAAGTCTCACCCTGGTGTGGATGTAAGCGCCTGTGTGTCTGCACACATGGAGTCCCCACTTCAACCTTTAATCCTCTGCATAACCCTGTACCTCCGCAGGCCACAAGGCTACCTGAAACTAGGACAGAATCCTACAACTCGCCAGAGGGCAGGGGGTATAATCGGAGTAGCAGGTGAGGGTCCACTGACGACCCTCCCCACCCCCTTCTTCTATGAAGGAGTGTTGACAGTCAGCAAGCCCCATCTCAGGGTCTCTTACCATCACAGCTGCTCTGATGAAGATGATGGCTACCAAGCTGAGGACAGCACTCTACAACAGGCTCCATTCCATCTCTAGTACCACAGAAAGACAGAGAAACAGCTAATGAACTGTGAGAGATGTTCAGCCTCATTTTGATGAACTGAATTAGTTTAAATTACTAATTTTATGCTTTAAAGTGGCAAAGATGTCCTAACATGTAATATGTATTGTTTATAAAGAGAAGCATATTTCTAAGAAGTTCTGTTGGAGGCATGAACTAGTAAGTATTTTATGGGCACTTCAGCAATAACATGCCAACAGCCTTTTTCATTTTAGAGGTTAACACACTGAATCATAAATACTTTGACACATTACCGTAGAGGCGGAGATGAATTTGGAAAGCACCTTCTTCCTCCGCATGCTGCTGCACTCCTGGCCTTGTAAAGGGTGGCCGTACTCAAAAGTAAAAGTACAGAAGACATGGGGCTGGGGAAGACAGCTCAGTAAGAGTGCTCGCAAGCACAAGGACCTGAGTTAGAATGCCAGAACCCACATAAAAAGTCCAGGATGGTGGTGGCGCACACCTGTAGTCCTAGCACTTGGGAGGCAGAGGCAGGTGGATCTCTGTGAGTTCAAGGCCAGCCTGGTCTACACAGTGAGTTCCAGGACAGCTGGGGCTACAGGGAGAACCTGCTTCAAAAATACAAAAAAAAAAAAAAAGTCCAGGATGGCTCTCTATGCCTGAACCCCAACACTGTGAGACAGAGACAGGAAGATCCCAAGAAGTCTAGCCAGCCAACCCAGCCAAAACAGCAAGCTCCCAGGTCAGTGAGAGACCCCGCCTCACAGCAATAAAGCAAAAAGCAAGGAAGACACCTTGGGTCCTGCTTTGGTCTCCGCATCACACACATGGGTGCACACAACCACATACTCATGTGCATGCACTCCACACCACACAGACACACAACCCAACAGTGAAACCAGATGTAGCTTTCTTGCAGCTCACTCTGTTCTTGCCCCTTAGGAGGACAAGCAGACTTCATCTGTTCTAAGTCTTGTCTGTATCATTCTTCCTGAAGGCAGGCCCACAGTCTCCTGCAACTCACTGGACTGGAGATGATGGGCTCTGCATTTGAACCACTGGGTGTTGGAAATGGGGAAATGGTAAAGCGTGTATTTTAAACAAAGAAGACCTCTGGGTCACCAGCAGCTCCTGGACTGAAGGCTTATTGGCTATGGAGGCAGAACTGAGGGAAAGTAGGCACCAGAGAGCTGGCCTTAAGCATTCCCCTTCTACCCATTCCTCACACTACTCATGAGATGAGCCTCCATCCTGTGATGTTCCTGGGGAGCCCCTGTTTGCATCTTTCTCTCTCCTTTCTGCACATCCTTAGATGAAAGGCAGGGGTTGCTTTTTTGTTTGTTTTTATGTGTACAAGTGTTTTGCCTGCATGACTGTAAATGCACCCACGCATACAGTGCCCACAGAGGCCAAAAGAAGGCATTAGTTTCCCTGGAACTGGAGTTACAGAGAGTTGTTAGTCACCATGCGGGTGCTGGGAATCAAACACGTGGGTCCTGCAAGAGCAGCCAGTGGTCCTAACCTGAGCCATTGCTCCAGCCCTGAAAAGGCAGGTTTTCCTCCCCTCAACAATAAATGAAGGGATGGGGCTGGAGAAATGGAAATAACAGCAGGCATCAAGAAGGCCTGACTAGCTGGATAAGCCAACAGCGGTTACACCAACAAGAATACAGAGCAAGTTCAACAAAACTCCATGCATGTCAGCAGCAAATGACCCCCAAACCAACACCTACCCCAGATCTTCAGTTCCTAAACATGAAGGAAATGACCCATCTTCGGTGAGTTATAAAAGAATGATTTGAAAAATTAGAAGGCAGATGCTCTTCTAGTCAGGCTAGCTTAATAAGAGCATGCATGCCGTAAAGGGTCCAGGGCACCATTGGAGCCATGCCTGACACTGCTGAAGTCACACAAGAACATGCTAGATAAATAACAGTGCCCACATTTAGATAACTACAGAGACGAATATCCACCAAAAGTTGTCAAGAGAAAGACAACGTATGAAGGACAGTGTATGAGCCCAGTTCAAGGTGAATTCAGGAGACAGAGCAAGATACCAGAGTGCATGGCAGGTTGTCTACATTCTGATCATGGCTGTGCGTTTAGAACCTAAAAGTACTACATAATTGTTACAAATTTGGAAAGGATTTGGACGTCTTAAAGAGGAAAAGAAGAGAAATATACCAAAATGCCAATATACCAAAATATACCAAAAATTCAATGTTGTGAAATGGGTGAATTATAGTTGCTTTTCAATTGATTTAACTAACAGTTGTTCCAAATTTTCTATACTATCGCAAAAATAAAAATAAACCCCTGTACAAAAACATACATACACAAACCATAATGCATTAAGAGCATTTTATTTGGACCTTCCTGCTTTGTGCTTACATTACCAAATACTCAGTTTCTCTCCAGCCACAATGATGCTTTCAGCATGAGAGTCAAAATTTACCAGTGTCACTCCAATCAGGAAGAGGTGAGCGAGAATGTCTCTGTGGAGCATGTCCCCATGAGAAAGCAAGCAAGCCTGGGGGTGGGAAGGGCGTGACTTACTGTGAAGCTGTTGTTGACATTTTTGGTGCTAGATTCTGCCACACTGGCATCCGTCAGGTCCACTTCATCAAATATGATCGACTAGAGAGAGAGGCAAACACAGGCTCAGGCAAGCCAAGACAGGTGTACCCCAAGCTACTGGCAATGCTACCCACCACTCTTCCCACCCATAAGCTGGAATCCTTCAAACCTCAGATCTCACATGATCAGTTTTTCTCCAGCCACAATAATGCTCTTAGCATGCGAGTCAAAATTTATCAGTGTAAATTTTGTGATACTGTAGAATTAATGCCCTTGCCAGTCTGCCTCTTGCAAGGAGCATGGTGGAGTCACGGGGAGGAGTGCTCCCGATGCTCCCAGGTACACCTCACTGCTTCAATCCAGAGCTCATTACTGGTTGCATTAGAACAATACTGACACTTCTACATCTATTCTGTGTAGCAAACACTACCACTAATAGTAGAGTTTCCCTCTTAAGTGTGTCCTCCCTCAATGCTCTACCCAAGAGAAAGTCAGTTGGGGTCAGGACTCACAGATCCTTCTAGCTTTGGTTTCTCCAGGGAACATATTTAGTAGGAAAGTCCTAGCCCAAACAAATATTGTAGGGGAGAGAGACGGGCCCTAATAGAAGGAACCCAGTTATAAGGAAAGTCAGGGGATGGAGCACAAGGAATCTAGTCCCGGAGAGTCACAGTTAGAAGCGAGGGCTGGAAAGCGGACCTTGGGATGTGCCATGTTCCTCTCCTTCCGTGGTTAAGGCCCTGCCATAGCCCCTGCTCTAAGATGACTCCATCTGGAACTCGTGGGGGAAAGACTAGCAACTAAGAAAACAGGCTCACCCTCTTAGGCACCCTCCCCACATCCCCCAGCAGCAGGACTGAAATAACTATGGCTGTGGTCAGAACCCTAAACACGTTGCTTTGCTCCATTTCAAACTACAGCATACTAACTCTCTAGGGATGCTTCTAGAGTTTCTTAAGGCTGAAGTATCAGAATTGCCACCAACACTGAGACAAAAGCACAGGTGTCAGGACTGCCAGCTGCCACCTGTGCTTGAAAGGCTGACGCCACATTCACTGGACCAGGGTGGCAACAGTACATCCCAACTGCTCTCCTGCCAGCACCTGCCTGGTGAGTCCAGTTCCCTACAGCCAGGGCTGCTGAGAAGCCTAGAGATGAAGAACTGCATCTCCCTGTTCATACACCGAGAAGCCCAGTGAGATCAAAACAGTTCTTAGCTCATAAGAGATCCATGTGCCTGTGGAAATGATCCAACTATAACGTCACTAGTTCTGTGATCATTTTTCCATTTTTAGAGAAGGGGAAAAATGAACAAAAATTAATTTTTACAAGAAATAAAACATGCTTTGAGATGAGTAAAACCTGGCAAACTAGCTGAGCTGGAAATGTGTCTGTGTTACAGAGTCTGCCTAGCACATCCAAGACCCCGGGTTCAATCCCAACATGAAGAGAGAAAAAAAAGCCCTAGCTGAAAATAGCTGGTCTGTAGATGGACGCTCTCCCCTGCCTCAAGTGCTCAGTCCCCAAACTGTGTCCTGAGGCACTCCTCTCACCATGCCTCACCTTTGCAGTTTTGGCGTAGTACAGTGTTCGCCCTCGAAGCTTGAAGTATCTCCTCTTGGACCGCTGGAACGAGTTGTTCTGTTTGGTCAGCATGCCCTCTTTGAGGACTGTCTGAAAGGACAGAAGCATACTTGTGAGCTTGCATTTCTGAGGTTGCTCCTCTGCCCATCGGGCTGAACTACACCCTGTGGTGCCTGATGAGCACATGGGCCTACCAAGCAGCCTCAGAGTAGTTCTCACACTCTCACAGACCTTGACCTCTGCACTGCAGGGGAGGCAAGGGGCACACCAGTTCTCTAAGGGACCACAGTGTGCCTGTATGCGACAGTGTGTCAGACCCAAGGTGTGTCCTAGCTATGCTCAGCAGATTAGCCAAGGGGAAACTGAGGCTCGAGGGACTGCAGTAAACAGCAGTTGGGGACAACTGGGACACAGGGCCAGCACATTCTCCAGCTTTAGCATTTGGTATTTTTCAGCTATTCTTGGCCCTGCCTCCATGTTCTCTGGCCTCCTGCCATTTCTCAGGATCCTGTTGCCAAAAGTGTCCATGTCTGTTGCTCTGGGGTTCAACATGGCTCCAGGCCTATGCTCTGATCAGTCCTCTGCATGGTTCAGAGGTCAGCGTGGGCATCTGCACAGGCTGAGCAGGAGAGGGAAAGTGCTGGGACCACAGCCCTGGCACTCATCCCCTCTAAGATGCTGACAAGTTCATCACATTATAGGAGACATTCCCTTCTCTCCAGAGAACTGTCCTCGCTCATTTAAAAGCAAGGCTTCCCTGGACTCGTCCTCCTCCATGTGCCCATGCACTGGGCTCCTGGCAGACTGAGCCCTGTACACCACTTGGAAATCAAATGTTCAAGGAATGACCAGATGTCCTGAACCACTCTGAGTCGCCAATGCAGTCAACACTATAAATGGGCTGGGGAATAGCTCAGTGTAGAGTTTGTCTAGCATGCTTAAGACCCTGGGTTCCAACCCCAGCACTTTCCTTATACCATACCTAACACAAATGTCTGTTCCACAGGAGCCTATCAATTCCATACAGCTTTGCACTTTAATCAACTTTTTAAAATGGCATATGCATAAAGTACTTGGGCGTCCAGGGCTACTATCTAATATAAAACCAGAGTGAACCAGACACAGAAACCTCAGGTCACCCAAATGTATCAGGATACAAAGGCAACATACTAGTGTGACTAGGTCTCGACAGCCTGTTTATCATAGGGGAGGGAAAAGGTCAGAGAAAGCTGAGGCACCCCCAGCCCCAGCCACCAAACACACAGAGCCAGGTTCAGGGTCCACAGCCTAGTAGCACACAGGCCAGTGCATGGTGCCTGGGGTTTACTCTCCTCCTCTTGACACAGATTATCCTTCAAGTCAGGGTGGGTTGCACATACCTGCACTCACCCCACAGGCCCACCAGGATAGTCTGCTCTGGTGGTCACCCATCAGCTGCCCTCTCTACTTCCCTTGAGACCAATCCAAGAGGAACCGCCAACAAGTAGACTTATTCATGCTGAGGCATCTACCTTCATCCCCTACTTCTGAAGAGGTCACCCACCCTACCTCTCAGGGAGTTAAAGAATGCCAAGAAGAAAGGAAAGGGAAACAGCATGATGCCACAATGCAGGGATTGCAGTCACCAACAAGCAGGTTCTGTACTACAAAGGAACAAGGGCCTAAGGCAGGACACAAGCCAGCCTACAGTACAGGGACGGGCTATAGCCAGGTCTGCTTCCAAGCACCCTGCCCAGATTCAAGTTCACATGGATGGCACTCTTGTCTGACATGTCTGTACACAAGTCCACCAGTCCACAGATTCCTGGAGCACATAGAGAACCTCTCTGAAGATCTCAAAGGGCTTGCTCAAGCAGACCGCCTCGCCCCCATTTAGCTTTCTTACCTCTGCTGGGGAAGAAACGGCTTCCATTTCTTTCCTATGTGCAGATTTTAAAATAAAAATAAGTCAACAAAACCAGTAAGTCAAACCCAGAAAAGTTATAAATTATCTTTAAAGGACAGATACACGAGTATTCCTTTCTTCCGTCTCCTGCTATGCATCTTATACATAAAAGACAAAGCAAATTCAAAGTACAATCCACCAATACACACAAACACAAAGACACACACCCATGCACACAAACAACTATCTTTCAGAAAGCAGATTAAAGTCTGCAAGCTCGGGCAGCCCAAAGAGACCTGCTGTTCTATTTATAGAACAAGAATGCTCAGAAAAAGACTCTGGTGGGTTTCAGCGGAAAAGGCTGGGGAATGATAAAAACCAATATTTCTTTGAAGCTTTCTCAGAAACTACACTTCGTCTCCTGGTTCATCGCTCCTGATACTATAGATACACCACAGAACACTGCTAAATGAACTTAAAGTCACCAAGAGATTTGCACCCCAAACCACATGCAGGCTTCTGCAAGTAGAAGCCTGCAAGAGCCACCACAGGAAACACTGCTGGGCAGGCAGACCCTTCTCACCACAGAGCCAGTGAGAGTCAGGGTCCAGGCTCCAGCATTCCCTGGGCTCCGTGCATCCAGAAGGGGCAGATGTCGGTCAAGTCATCCAGAGTACAGAGACAAATCTGAAAGCTGCACAGGGCACCAAGAAGATGCTCTGCCTCCAAGGAGACGTTAGAAAAGCCAACATTACAGGGTCTTGACTCTAGCGGCAGGCGCCAGATGCACGGGTGTGAAGTCCTATGCTTACTCGTGGACCTGGGACCCACAGCCACCTACTAACCACACAGACACACTGAGCTCTCAGGCACAAGGCTGCAAGCAGAGCAAAAGTCTCACGGTCTCAGGAAAAGTTCTGGAAATGCCCTAAAAGGGCTAGGAAGCAAGGGGCAGGGAAAGGTTCACAAGCTCCTGCAGTTCTAAAGGCACCCACTAAGTGTCCTCTGAAAACAGGGACCTTTACTCTCCTTACCACCTCCCCTCCTCAAACAGCCACAGGGCAAACAATAGTTCACACAGCAGTTGAGGCCACAGAGCAGACAGGCAGACAGGTATACACAGGGTACAGGGGTGTGAGTGATAGTCCCCTGCAGACAGGTATGAGGAGGCCAGAGAACAGCGACTGGCCTGAGACCCCCAAAGTTGGAACACAGATGGAGCCCAACATGGGTGGGAAAAGGACGGCACAGTTCACTGCTTGACACTGTCCTGTAGATCACAGGGCCCCCGTCAAGGAGTAGAGGCTCAAAGGTCCTCTTTAAAATATGGGGGGGTAGCCATAACATATGGCCCAGCAGTTAAGAGCACTGGCTGCTCTTGCAGAGGACACAGGCTCGGTTCCCAACACCCACGTGGTAGCTAACCATCTCTAACTCCAGTTCCATGGGATCTGATGCCCTCTTCTAACCTCCATGGGTACTGAATGACAGTACACTTACATACATGTAGGCAATACAATGGTACATAAAATAAAAATATTCAAAAAATAAAAAATATGAGGCAGGACAGATGACTCCACAGTGTGCAGTTCAACGGGAGGAAGGCTGGGGGTCTCATCTTTGTGGTACTGAGTTTGTGGCTTGAAGACAGACGGGGGACACTGAGGACAGAGCTGGCAGCCAGCCCAGTGGGTCTGCAGGGCAGAGAATGTTTTCTCAGACAGAGCTGGGATGCCAGGAGACGCAGGGGAACAGGTCCTGAGATGTCAACAGTCAGGAAAAAGGAGGCCGAGAAGGGATCTGGAGAGACGGTCAGGGAAGCACTGGCAGCACACCCTGAGGACCCCACTTACCAAGCTGTAATTCAAGCACCAGGGAGATGGAAACAGGTGGATTCCCAGGGCTCATGGACCAGCCAGCCTACCCTGATCTCCTAATAAGAGACTCTGTCTCCAAACAAAAGGTAGGCGATGCTGGGGGAAGAGGTAGTAAAACTCATTATAAATTTGTGTATCACTTTTTTTTTTTTTGGTCTTTTTGAGACAGGGTCTCCCTGTAGCCCCAGCTGGCCTGGAACTCACTATGTAGACCAGGCTGGCCTCGAACTCACAGAGATCCGCCTGCCTCTGCCTCCCAAGTGCTGGAATTAAAGACGTGCCCCAACACACCCAGCTCTTAATTTTTTATTTTATTTTATTTTTTAATGTGTATGAGTGTTACACCTACATGTATGTAAGTGCACCCGTGTCACGCAATACCTGCAGAAGTCAGAAGAAGGCATTGGAGTCCCCTGGAACTGGAGTTACGGACGGTTGTTAGCTGTTATGTGGGTGCTAGGAATAGAGCCTGGGTCTTCTGTAAGAGCAATCAGTGCTGTCAACCACTGAGCCATCTCTCCAGCCCGATTTTTTTTTTAAACAAACACTAACATTTTAATTAACAAATACAAAAATTGGTCAACAAAAAGACTGAGCATTTTGCCCATGGTTAAACAGCTAGTAACAGATCACAAAGAAATCTCAGCACTTGCCCATAATGTACAAGACCCTGGGTTCAAACCTCCAAGCACCCCCGACACGCACTCAAATCTCAGGCCTCCTTACTTATCTCAAGGCTTCTTCTACAGCTTATAGTTCATTAGTAACATAGTTCATCAACAGGAAACTATTTACAAAACATGAAGTATGCCCACCGAATTCAGAGTCCTGTGGCCACCCTAAAGGCTCAGCCGGTGTAGTAACCAACAACCACTGCGTACAGGACCTTCTTTCACCCTGTGAGCTGCACATCAATTCTGAGAGTAGGTACAAGTTGAGCAAAATAAACCAGAAAAAACAAAATTCAAAATGTCCCCAAACCTGAAGCATTCTCCGTGCTGGTACAGTGCCCAAAGCTTCTCGGGCTTAGAGGAGGCAGAGCATGCTCAGGTTAAAGATGCTCGACCCAGAAGTTTCTGCAATATTCCAAAATCTACAGTGTTGAAACCTGAAACACTTCAGATGAACTCCACTGCAGGAATATCCCCATTATAGAGATAGGAAAAGGAAACCAAGGGCAGAAGAATGACATAAATCCACTCAAGGCCACACAGCTAGTGTCAGGCCTAGGATTCAAACCTAGCCCAATGAGCTGGGCCAAGAGTATCTATCTGTAAAAGCACATTAGCACAGTACCCACCTGTAATCCCTGTACTCAAGAGGCTGAGGCAGAAAGATCGAAAGTTCAAGTAAGACTG